TTTGTGTGTGTGTGTGTGTGTGTGTGTGTGTGTGTGTGTGTGTATTTCACTGCCCAGCTGGAATTTTTGAGATTAATGTTACTACTAGTTCATCTCTGTGAGCCTTAGATTCCTTGCTTAGCAGTACAGTGGTACCTTGGTTCATGAACTGAATTCGTTCCACAGTTCTGGAAAAGATGGCCATGTTCATGTTGGTGCAGGAAAAATGGCCGCAATCATGTTAGTCACCTGATGCAGAGTTCCCAAACAAAAACAAAATTTTGCCAAACACTTCTGTTTGGAAACCAAATTGTTCACAAACAGAAGCATTTGTGAACTGAGGTGCCACTGTACTTACCTTAGTACCTGGCAGGGGCCGGGGATGGGGGGCAGAAGCGAGATGTCACAGTGGATACAACACAGAGTTGGGCACTTTTCAAAGTGGCATTTTGTTCATGAAGTCACTGATGGGAAGATACAATCAGGGACCTTTGTGGTGATTTGGGGAAGTTGATGAGTTGGTTTTCATTCCCTTCTCTGATTTTTTTTTTCCTAAGGGGACGGAAGTGTAAGCCCATCTTTGTTCAGATAGCAAGACAAGTGGTTAAGCTGAACGCATCAGACCTCCGTCTGCCCTCCCGAGCGTGGAAGGTTAAGCTGGTCGGGGAGGGGGCTGATGACGCTGGAGGAGTGTTTGATGACACCATCACAGAGATGTGCCAGGTATGTTCATGCACCCTGCACAGTCGCCTGCGCAGAGATCCTGGTACTGTTTCCTGGTACTGCTCCTTCAGGTGTGCCTTCATCAATGCAGTGAGGTGCATTTGTGAGCCTCATATACAGTCTTAATGTTAGTGCCGCCTAGGTGGATGATAACGAGGTCTCAGGGAGTGTTTTGTGAAGACAACTTATCACATAGTATCAGCACTCTGCCCTCTACCAGTGACTCACCATCTGTCATGCTGTCGGTCATACTGGCAGAGGAAGCACAGTGACACATAAATACATTCATGTAGCAAACAAATCCAGGACCACCCATGTGCTCTGATTTATTCTGTGCTTTTAGAACAAACTGCCAGGCCCAGAGGAATTAGAAAAATATCAGTTGAGAGTTTAGATCATGTCTGATTTTAAGAGGCACACTGGCAGCTGTGCTTTCAGATCAGCTGTGTCCCTTCCAGCTTTGCCTAATATCAGGATTGTTCTGTAACCCTGTGACTAGAATGATGCTTGGCTGTCATGTGTTGCATCTGTTTGAAACTTCCCCACCTCCTGTTCCCAGCTTCCCCAACTCTTGTTGGAGGGACTTTCTCACCCTGCTGCTTCTCACTGCAGGAGATTTTCCACAAAAGTTACTACAGAGATGGCTGGCTGTCACATAGCACTATAAATTCCTCAAAATATTCTCCTTTCAGTGTAATATTCAGTGTGATTGATTTGTTCTTGAAGCATTTGATTGTCATCTCTCGACAGAACATTTTTCTTTCTTCTACAGGAGCTTGAAACTGGTGTAGTTGACCTTCTCATACCCTCTCCTAATGCCACCGCAGAAGTGGGTTACAATAGGGACCGGTAAGACAGATAGCAGATGTTTGTCAAATGTCTGAACAGTGCTAGCCCACGTTTACTGAGTGCTTCCTGTGTACCAGGCACTATGCTGAGTGCTTCCTGTGTATTATCCCCCGAGCCCTTGTTGTAACCCTAAGAGTGGGTGCTCACATTTCCCCCACCCCATGGGACGGGACAGCAGGCGCTTCCATCTCGACTCAGATTAATTACGAGGTCAACTCAGCTGTGATCCAGAGAGGAGAGGAAGCTCAGAACTGATGAAACCTGACTGACTTTGTTTTTCTGAAGGCCCAGATGGCTTCCCCATAGTAAATTTTCTGCACTATAATTCATTAAAAAGTTTTATTATACTATCAAGTCACAGAGCTTAGTATTGGATTTCCAGTTATTATATTTGCAGATTTTAAAATTTTGGATCCTGCTTCATAGGCTTACAAACAATAATTAAGTTATTCTGGGAAATAGGGTGTTCTGGAGCAGGTAGCCTGAGGATTAATAGACCATTTACTTGCACTTTCATAGTTTTTCTAAAATTAATTCAAAATATGGTCTCTGCTGTCCAAAACAGTATCCACAGGCTGTGTGTAGCTGTTTAGCACTCAGAATATGATTAGGGTAGCTAACGCACTGGATTTTAAATTCTATTTAATTGATTTAAATAGCCATATGTAGTTAATGGCTGCTGTGAGCAACAGTGCAGGTCTAATCTAATGCTGTAGCTGCTGGATAACTCATTTCTAATAGAAATGAGGAAAACCGTGTTTGAAATATTTTCTTTTGTAGATTCCTTTTTAACCCCTCAGCCTGCCTTGATGAACACTTGATGCAGTTCAAGTTTCTGGGGATTTTGATGGGGGTTGCCATTCGCACGAAGAAGCCTCTAGACCTCCACTTGGCCCCTCTGGTATGGAAGCAGCTGTGCTGCGTCCCACTCACCCTGGAGGACCTGGAGGAGGTGGATCTGCTCTACGTGCAGACCCTCAACAGCATTCTTCATATTGAAGACAGTGGCATTACAGAGGAGAGTTTCCATGAGGTAGGTCTGGGCTGGCTGGAGTCCTACTGCTGTTGACTTCCTGTGTGCACAAGCTAGAGTTTTTCATGTGTGTGGCCAGATATGGTCCTCCTGACTGACAGGCTGACTCCTGCTGTCCTTAGCAGCTCCTCAGCCCCAGCGGCCTGAGTAGCTACTAATGGGCAGCATTGGCTCTAGTCCCGGCTCCTGCTCCTTCTACTTCAATCTGTTTTCTGCCCATTAGATCGGGGAACCAAGGGACACAAAGTGGAGAGGAAGGCCTGGGTGACCAGAGTTCAGGAGACTTGGTTGGGGGCAGGGGATTTGGCTTCATTTTGACCACAGCAGATGAGTCAGCAGTTCCATGCTCCAGCAGCCTCATCAGTCAGACCTGTCCAGTTTGCCTTGTTTTTCACATTGAAATCTCAACTTTGTTCCTGTTGTGGTATCTGTATGTGACATACTTTTTGTTGCCATTTCTTCCATGTAATAAAAATTATTTTTATTTTTCTGTTTTTAGATGATTCCTCTTGATTCTTTTGTTGGCCAGAGTGCTGATGGCAAAATGGTTCCCATAATCCCTGGTGGAAATAGTATCCCGCTTACATTTTCCAATAGGAAGGAGTATGTGGAGAGGGCCATTGAGTATCGGCTCCACGAGATGGATCGGCAGGTGAGATGAAAGGCTGTGGGAGGCGCACACAAGTGCTTAGGTTTGTCTCCAGGTAAGAGCTGGCTGTCACTCCCACGTTGGCGTATGTATTTACTGTGTTGGTTCATTCACGTCTGTGTTTCACACCCTATCCAGAGACTTAGATCAGCTCTGCATTGGTCACTGGTTGGATAGAGTCGGGGCTCTCAGCCTGGCATTCTGACTGTCTTCTCGCTCCTCACCCTGTCCTGCTTGTCTGCACATATTAGTGAGCCTGCTGCAGTTGGGTCACTCAAGCCCAGGTGCTGTCTTGCAGTCCCACATGAGTCCCTCTTCCCTCTCCTGCTGCAGTCCTTCAGGGCCTGGCTACCAATGCATCTCCTCCACAGACTAGCTTCCCTCCACACCCTCACCTAGAGAGGTCTTTTGCCTTCCTTTTCAGTTCTTGAAGACATCCCACAGACTTCTCTGGTGGTCTGAGAATTAAGCCCTAGAGTCTGGGTCTTGTTCTTCTGTTAGCTTGTAAGACTCTGAATGTAGCTATGTGTTTCTTTCTCCCTTGAGTTATCCTGGTTCTGTGCTGACAAATAAGCATCTAAAAAGGAGGGAAGTATAGATGAGTGATCACAGAAATGAATACTGTATCCAAAATGGTTCTTCTGGCAATGCAGTCATTGCTAGCCACTTCAGTAATACCTTCTTTTCAGAATATGGTGAGGTCTTCTTGAGAGCTGGACCCAGACTGAGGCCACAGTGGATTCGTAATTTGAAGTGTGTATGTCTATGCTCATCACTTCTGATCCTTTCTTTCACTTTGGCTTTGGGTCAAGTCAAGTCAGAAAACTATTTCCTTTAGCTTAAGAAGGTGGGTTCTGTTAGCAGTGCTATTTATTACACAGCCAGGCCTCAGAGTCTCTCTCTAGTTTATGAAATTGTAGTCCTCAGAGAGGAAATAACTGACTAAAACCACGGTTCCCTGAAACAACTTGTTTTCCATTAGGTCTTATTTTCGGGGAACCAGGGAAATGTATCAATCATTTTTTGCATGCTAGACATGAGGCCAGATGACCTTGTGTGTGGTTTCTCCTATGGTTACTGTCTGGGGTGAGGATCACTGCCACCATTCTACAGGAACAAGCACTGAGTGTAGAGAGCAGCGCATGGCCCCATGCTAGCTTCACTCCATGTAGGTCCTCCCAAGGGTGAGTAGCTCCTCCCTGAAGCTGTGCTTGCCCTGCCCTGGCTTTGTTCCTTTCTCTAACAAGGGCTTTTCCTTTCATTTCTTCTTCATCTCTTAGGACTAAGTGTTCTTCCCATATGTGTCTCTAGCTGTCCCCCTGCCACCTCCTGCAGCCAGCCCATACCTCATATGGGTTTGTTTGTTTGCTTTGGTACTGGGGATTAAACTCAGGACCTTGCCCTTGCCAGGCAGGCATAGCGCCACTGAGCTGCATCCCCAGCTCAGAGGTGGTTTTTGAGTTGGCCATGAGTGAATCATTCATGAAACAACCTTGAAGAGTGACGGGTCTTCGTGCAGCGTGTGCACTGGGGTGTGACCCTGAAGCAGACTGTCCAGAGCCCCTGGCATCTCCTCAGCAGTCCCCGCCAGCCCCCACCAGCCCGAGTTCAGCACTGTACAGGAGAACAGAGCACTGTAATTACATCAGCAGTAGGATTGCTACTTCCTCATGTTAAGCCCACCTTAGAGTCTTGTTTCAGATGTTTCAGATGAGAAAATTAAGGTTGTGGACTTACTGAGTATTGGGTCTGGTATTTAGAACCCAGATCTCTAAATTGTTTGCCTTTACTGGCTCCCCATTTTTATTTTCTTCTTTGTGCTTTTCAATTTTTTTTCACTGAGCACAAATAATTTTTATAAGAAGGATATAACTACTTTCCAAAGAAAAATATGTTACAAAAACAGTAGACAGCTAAATGAGTTCTCCAAGAGTGTCTAGAGATGATGAGGAAATGCAGCATCCACATGACCCACTTAACAGCAAAGGGCCACATGTGACCAGGAAGAGTAGGCGGGGCCTTGGGGGCTGGGGCTTTTGCTTTGGATTTTTTTTGGTGGTACCAGAAATTAAACCTAGAGATGCTCTACTGAGCTACATCCTCAGTCCTTATAAAATTTTTTATTTTGAGTCAGGGTCCTGCTGGGTTGCCCAGGCTGGCCTAGAACTTGTGATCCTCTTGCCTCAGCCTTTCTAGTAACTAGGATTACAGGTATGCATCCCTGCACTAGCAGGGGGCTGAGCTTTTGTGGGACAAGAAGGCGAGCACCTACATTGGACTAGAACTGGGGCCAGGGGAGCATGAGAATCTGCCTGCAGGAGAGAGTGTGGTCCTGTGCTCAGGCCTCAGTGCAGCAGACAACAGGCAGGATGCCCAGCCCAACTGGGTCACAGTGAGTGCCCATCTACTTGCACATAGTAAGGTGAACAACCTCTTCTGACGCAGGTGGCTGCAGTCCGAGAAGGGATGTCCTGGATTGTCCCCGTGCCACTGCTGTCCCTGCTCACCGCAAGGCAGCTGGAGCAAATGGTGTGCGGGATGCCCGAGATCTCCGTGGAGGTCCTGAAGAAGGTGGTGCGGTACCGCGAGGTGGATGAGCAGCACCAACTGGTGCAGTGGTTCTGGCGCACGCTGGAGGAGTTCTCCAATGAGGAGCGGGTGCTCTTCATGCGCTTCGTGTCCGGACGCTCCCGACTGCCGGCCAACACTGCCGATATTTCTCAGAGGTTTCAAATCATGAAAGTTGATAGGGTAAGTGGGTTTTTCCTTCCTTAGTACGGTCTTCTCTGACTTCTTCCTTGTTGTTACTGTGCTGGGAAAACCAAGATAACTTCCAGTCAGGCCTGCGGATTCAGGCTTTAACCTTGAGTATCCAGATGTTTAAAAAATCAAGCTGTAAAACTTATTCAGAAACATCACTGAGCCGGGGATTTAGCTCATTGGTTTCGCCACCTGCTGCGCAAGCGCAAGGACCCGAGTTCGATCCCCGGTACCAAAAAAATAAATAAATAAGAGATGATTTTGCCAGGGATTTAGCTCAGTGGTTCCGCTGCCTTCCCTGCAAGCACAAGGACCCGAGTTCGATCCCCGGTACCAAAAAAATAAATAAATAAGAGATGATTTTGCCAGGGATTTAGCTCAGTGGTTCCGCTGCCTTCCCTGCAAGCACAAGGACCCGAGTTCGATCCCTGGTACCAAAAAAAAGTAAAAAAACAAAAAACTGGGAATGAGAAACATCACTGAGCTTTAGCAGCCAATGACCTCCCACTGAATCTTCAGCACTGTCCTGAGCTGAATGGGACCTTGCAGAGGGATCATCATGCCGCCCCTCCCCTTTCCTGCTCCTTTTCCTGTCTCACATGGGAGCTGGGCACGGTGCATGTGCTCCAAAAGGGCCTGAGGAAGCTGGGAGCTGCGGTGTGTGCCCTGCGCCAGAGCCTGGCCCCACTGTGGATTGCGCAGGTGGCTCAGGATAGAAGGGCCCAGGTTCTGCAGTGCACGCTGCCACCAGAGCTGTCTTTCTCAAATGCGCAGCCCACCAAGTCGCTCTCCTCTGTCAGATGTCAGCGGCCCCTGCCCTGATTCAGAGTAAATGCCAGTGGCACTGGCTGGCCCACCACAGTCTAGACTCTGCTGCTCACCTCTTGACACTTGCCGTGTTCTGGCCATGATAGCACGCTGTGCCATTTTTACACTTCCAGGCCTTTGTGTTGCTCTGCATAGTAAGTTCCTCACACCCCTGTCCATCCATGCCTGATACACAGTTATTGTGCATTAAACCCAGTGCCAAGGTGCTCTCCGGGAAGCCCTCCTGGATGCCTTCCTGTGTCCCCCACCCTGTGTCTGAAGGCAGACCTAGGCAGACTTCCCTCTTGGCCTCAGCATTGGCCCCTGTGGCCCCCACCACATCCTTCCCAAGCCCCTTCTCCAGGGAGAGTGTGCAGTCCTTTGAGAAGGGCCCTGGTGTAGGTCCGGAAGCAGTAAGGAAAGCGGGTCTCTTCATACAGGGCCTTTCCTACCACTCTCGGCATCTGCTGGATGAGGCAGGAACACTCAGCGAAATCCTTCAGTGTCCAAAATGATAGTTACGATGACTCCAGGCAGAACAGCAGAGAGCTCAGAACAGATTGTGAGGTTAAAACAGAATAATACAGAATTCTGACATAGATACGAAAATGTGTCCACCCAAGGCCTCAGCGGAAATGGCCACTGCTAGGTGTCTGCTTTCTCATGCTTTCCAGTCACTGTTCTGGCAGTGGCTGAAGCCTGAGCCGAGCCAAGCTGAGCTGCCTCCTGAACCGCAGGCGGCGCCCTGTACCAGGCCGGGCTGGTAAGAGCCTCCCTACATGTTTCTCAGGTGGACAGCAAGGCGGGAAGGAGGATTGCCTCCCTTCTGTCCCGCTCTGGAAGAGATCCTGCCACTCGGGTGTTAACCCGACACAAAGCCCCACCTTGGGCTTGTCAGCCTCAGAAAAGTGGCCGCTGGGTGTTTCCCTGTGCCTCTTAGACTGTTTCTCAATTGTTTCTCACGCTGTGAGCTCCACTCTATGCTGTTTCCTTTGTGTCTGCGCTGGGGCTCTGTCCTCACAGCCCTGGAACCTGCATTCTGCTGGGCTGACCAGGAAGAGAGGGCGATTTTAAGAGGAAGCTGAGCAAGAGAGGGCAGGTCCTTTGTTAAAACTCATTTTTAAAAATTTTATTTATAACAGTATTGTGTCATTACTAGAATTGCAGATAGTTTTGAAATGGTGGCTTACAGGGAATAACAGGAAGCCCATGTCATCTTGTCTAGCAGTGGCTGTTTCCTCCTGTGCCTCAGTTGGACACATAGTCTGTATCCTGTGTCAGAATTCTGTCCTTTTTTTCAACCTCAGTCTCCTCTCAGCACCTGCCCGTAGTCATCGTAACTGTCATTGTAGGTGCTGAAAGATTCAGCAGAGTACTTCTCTCTCATCTGTGCTGTATGCAGGTGGCCATGGGTGTGAGGGTGCAGCGCGTGCGGGAGCGTGGTCGCGAGGGGTGACAGTGGCTCCCCGTCGGCTGCACCGCACACCTGCCCCTCTGCGCCTGCTCTGTGGGCATCCTCGTGGCTGGCTTTGGGGCTGTGCCCTCTTGGTGGGCAGCGCTCTGTGCTGGGCACCATGCTGCCAGGCAGAGCCTCGAGTTGCTTCACACCTGTGGGCTTTGGATGAGGTGAGAGGAAGGAAGTGGCCAGCAGAAGCCCTGAGGGCCATGGGACAGCAGAGCCTGTGCTCTTCCTGCCACAGCCTGGCTCTGCATCCACTCGAGTTGAGGATGTGGTCACGTCCGTGGATTCCAGTTGGGAGAAGGGCTGTCCTGTCCTGTGGTGGTGGACGGGCAGCCCTGCTCCCGAAGTCACCACTCTGGGTCTTTCTCCACAGCCTTACGACAGTCTGCCTACCTCACAGACCTGCTTCTTCCAGCTGCGGCTGCCCCCCTACTCCAGTCAGCTGGTCATGGCCGAGCGCCTGCGCTACGCCATCAACAACTGCCGCTCGATCGACATGGACAACTACATGCTCTCGAGGAACGTGGACAACGCCGAGGGCTCCGACACCGACTACTGACCTCAGTGCTGCCGCCCTCCTCTTTCTTAGTAACGTTCACTTCGATGTGATGTTGATATACTTTTATGGTAACTACATAGATGTTTTAGGAACATAAACCGACATGATAAACAGTACTTTAGTTACTCTAAAGGTAACAAAGAAATTAGATGTTTTTATTTTTCTGTGATTGTACAAAAACAACAAAAGCAAAGTGCTTTCAGTCAGGTTTTTCCCTTCATATTTTTGGTCACTTTTGATAAGTTTGCATGGAACCATTTTGGTGCATTTTTAGTTGGGAATGATACATTTTTGTAAACCCACCCAGTGAACACAGAATTGTACATTGTGTATAATTGTTCATTAGAAAGGACAGTTTTACATGAATATTCATATATTTATTTTGTTTTAATTTGAATTGCCTGTGCAGGGTTCCTTATGCAGAGAAATAAAGCAGATTCAGGAGTCAGTGGGCGGCTGCTCTGTTGGGTCCCACAGCGAGGCAGACGCAGTCCCACGTGGAACAGCTTTGCCCTGGGCCCATCTCACTCTGCGGCTTTCAACCCCCTTAGAAACGATCCCTCTTGGTGAGGCCCCGCCTCTCAGGCCTGCATTGCGCCCAGTGCAGGTTCAGCGCCCCAGCCAGGAAGGAGCACAGCCAGCACCACACAGGCACCCTGCCTGAGAAGACCCAGGAAGACAGCTGAAGAACGGGCCACAAACGACCATCATCTCTGCCAAGGCAGCAATGGGAGGGGCAGGAAGGACAGCTGTCATGAGCAGGCACGCAGCGTGTACCGTGAGAATGAATGAGGGTCAGTTTGCGGCTGGTGTCCTGCAGTGATGATGGTGCGGGGCTGTGTCGGGCCTGGGAGGGGGACACTGCAGGGAGCCCCTGTGAGGCTTTAGCTACCAGTGTGAGCTGTGTCTGGTCCCCTCCACCACACCAAGTCCAGGCCACACACTGCTCCTGGTGAACCTCACAGGCAGGGTCCTTGCTGACAGCCAATCTTTCCCACAAGAAAAGAGAAAATAGAAGAAAACTGTAGCTTTGCAAGCTAATATGATGTGAATTGATCTTCCTGGTGAGAAGACCTAGTAACCTTGAGAACGATGATGTCTTTGCTTGAAAAGGCTTCAATGGGATTGGGTCTCAGAGGAGGACCAGGCCCTTCTAGGTAAAGGCACATGCTTAGCTTTATCTGGGCTCCACCAGCAGCAGGGTCGAGGGGCCCCGGGCTGAGAGCATTTGCTGTGGAGTGGGAAGGTGGCCCCTGCACCAGGACAGAATGTCTCTTAGAGGAGAGAGGTCTCTGTGCAACTGGGGCCACAGACAGGGGCAGGAGAGAGGTCCCTCAGGTCCTCTGGGCTCCTTCCTCCTGCTGGACTAAGGGTGTGCAGAGAGAGTTGAAGGACACAACACATCTGAGGCCTCTGGGATGATTTCCGTTATTGCAGAAATAACGCCTCAGCCTCTGTGGCTCTGGCCTTTCCCACCATGGTCACCCAGTCTGAGAAGCAGGACCACCCAGCAGGGCGGGGCTCACAGCCCACGTCCCTCAGGCCCTGTGTGGTGTTTTCACGTGCCGCTTCTTGGCTGGAAGTGTATTGCTACTTCTGCACTCTCTGGACTTCTGAGGACTGTGAGGAAGGGACAGGTGCAAGTCCCAGAGCTGAGGACTGAAGTAGGGCCAGTGTGGGTATTTTCCTCCAGCACGGGCTCTAAGGTTTCCCCAGGCATCTGCCAATGTGTGGCTTGGTTCTGGCCTGTGGGTCTATGGTCTTTGCCAGAAGAAGCCACAATCACATCATGGCACTGACTCCTAGAGCAAGGGCCCCGCCTCTAGGAGGTCAGGTGAGCTTGCAGGCGTCACTCCAGGCCAGGACAGGGAAAGCACCGGAGCACAAGGAGCCCAGGCCAGTTAGTCCTGACAGCCAGCCTGTGCAGAATCTGGTGTCCCGCAAGACAAGCCTCAGCACCGTGCCTGCTTCCCGGGCCTACGGGCCTGTGGTGACAGCGTCCTACCTTGATGCTGAGGGGTGGGCCTCTTTGTGCTTTCCTACTTTGGGCCCTTGGCTGCCTTGGCCAAAACAGATTGAAAAGTCTTGGCACTCCAGGAGCTAGGCCCGATCTGTGGCCTAATGGAGAATGGGAGGGTACAGACAGCCCAAGACATTCTGGTGACCCAGGCCCCCATTGGCCTAAGCCTACCCTTCTCTGGAGGGACCTGTGCCTTTGTGAGCTGCACCTGGAGACAACATCACCCCCCCACCTTGCTCCTTCCCAGAACCTGGTTCCTTGGGTCCCTTCTAGCCCTCCGTGGATGTGAGGAGGCCTCACCTGCTCTGCCTTCCAGGCAACGGTACATTTATACATCATCTCTTAACTCTCACAGGGAAGGTCTTGGCCCCATTTTATAGTTAAGAACTGAGACTCAGAGGCCCTGTCAGAAGCCATGGACAGCGGAGCTGGGAGATGACCCAAGAACACCCTTGGCCCCCAGCTTTGTGTCTTCTCCCAACCAGGGCTGAGTCCCTTGGTCAGCCCGGCTCAGGCAACACAGATGGACCCGAGGGTTACGCGTGGTGTGCCTCCTGTTCCGTGCAGACCTGAGAGGCCTTGCAAGCTGTCCAGACTAGGCAGGGCACACCTAGTAATGGTGAGCTGTTCCCACCGGAAAGCAGAGTGCAGGGCTGAGGGTCCTTGACAGCACCCACCTGTGAGGAGCCCCCCTTCCCCTGGCCACGGCGGAAGCCAGCGTGGAGCCCAGGAAGCAATGGTGGGCGCAGGCAGCAGCACAGCTTTGGTTCTGTAGTCACTGTCATCTGGGTATGTGGGGCCCGGCCTGGGAACCTGACTCTCGTTTAGAGAAAAGCTTCCGTGGGAAAGGGCTGTGGGGGATGCAGGCTCCCCATGGGGGCTTGAAGTACAGTGACCTCTATTTTCCAGACACAGGCCTGATCTTATAAGAACCTCACAAACCGCATTCTCCGGCTTCCTCTAGTATACAGATGAGGATGTGGGGGCCTGAGATAGGTTAACCTGCTCTTGGCCATCTGGCTAGAAAGTGAGGGCAACAGGAGGGAAAGATTCAATAGAAGCTGAAGCCAGGATCCTGTTGTTCCCACGTTAAACCAACTTAGGACAGCTGGGAGTCAGGGCACACGGGAGACCATGAAAGCAAAGCCCCGTGGTATAAGTGGCTGATTTAGGCTGGCTGCCGGTCACCTGTCTCTTGCCAACACCCCACCCCCTTTCCAGGCTGCCCCAGCCCGCATCTCAGTACCTCACACAACCTGGCCACGAGACCACAAGGCCTCATTTTCCTTGCTGTTTCTCATTTGGGCAAATTAAAAACCTCGCCTTCCACAGAAAAGGAACACCTGGCCGGAAGCATGAGGATCTTGGTTCTGGTTTATCCTGTGTACCTGCAGCCAGGAGGCTGCTGGGTAGCTGGGAGATTTTCCTAAAGGCGAGGGACATCGAGGCTAAGGCCCTTCAGTCCACGCAAGTGCCCAAGGCCAGCAAATCCAGCAGGTAAACTTGTGTGTCCGGAGGTAGTGGTTCCATTATCAAAGGACTTAACCGGGGTCACTTTTTATTTTTAAATCTTTATTACTCCCCTCACTTCCCGTAGTATGTTCTCCTTCTCTAAAACGGGTAGGAAATAATCGGTGACTGCAGTTTACGTAAGAATGGGAGCGGGTTTTCTGGACCGGCCCTCTGCCGTCGCTCCTAGGGCCACACCTGCCCCGGGGAAGGCGGTGCAGGCACTGGTCCCGTCTGCACCCGAGGTTACTGCGCGAGGACCGGGTGGCCTCGAGCTCGTGTGCCCGCCCCGTCCCCGGTCGCGTGACCCACGGCGGCCTAAGCGCCGAGGCTGGTGGCGCGCGCGGTGGAACCTCGGTGCGGAAGGAAGGGGTGGTGGTGGCGACAGCGGGAACCACGCGAGTGTCGTCTAAGCATCCGGTCCTTTACTCGCACTCGTCCTCTGCATCAAACCACACCCCGCGGGAAGCAGGCATTGTACCCGCGGCGCAGACGGAAGACCGAGGCCCGCCAGACGTGAGCGTCGGAGGCGCGCGCCCCAGGGTCCGGGCCTAGAGCGGCCACGGCGTGCACGGGACGGCGAGCGCGCGCGGCAGATGGTCGGGGATCATGGCCGCGCTGTGCTCGGCGCGCAGGGTGAGGCGAGGGCAGGCTGCGCGCAAACGGCGCAGGCCCGCGGCGCTCACGTTGCGGCAAAAGTCGACGTGAAGCGTCTGCAGCGCGCGCCCGTGCGCGGCCACGGCGACCAGAGTGCCGTTGGTGACGCGCGCGCAGTTCTCCAGGCGCAGCGCGCGCAAGCGCGGGCAGCAGAGCAGTAGGCGCGCCAGGCAGTCGTCGGTGACGTGGCTGCAGCCCGACAGCGTGACGGACGTCAGGTTGGGGCACCTGAAGGGAGAGTACGGTGACCTTGTCGTCTCGGGGAGCAGTTTCCTGCCCTCTGCGCCCCTGCACCCCAGTACACCTTCGTCTGCGGGGCTTCCTAGTCCAGGCTTGGACTAGTCCAGGGACCCCGCCTGGCCCCCACAGGGGTCGTGGGGATGCGGTTCCCGGAGGCACAGCTGTGGCTCTGGTCCCCTCTGGACGTGCAGCTCGGGTGGGCGCGGTGTGGGGTGACCACTCCTGGCCGGAGAGGTTTCATTGGGCAATGGCTTAGTGACGCGGAGGCGCGACCCAGTGTTGGTTCTGGGTTCCAGCGCCCAGGATTCAGCCCGGCTGGCTGGGTTAGTTAGAAACTCCCTGGGACACCAGCCTGGAAAGATCAGAACCCAAGGCCACTGGAACCAGGCACTGAGGAGGGGACAGTGAGGGACACCCAGGTAGCTGGCAGCACAGCGGGAGGCCTCCCTACTCCAGCCTCGGCAGTCAGCGCTTGGTGGAGAATAAAGATCTTGAGCAGTTCATTTGATTTGCAGAGTGACCTTGGCCTTGTCACTCCCCGAGTGTGTGGTGGGTGGGTGGCAGGGTCTGTGGACATCCTGTGGGGATCAGGTCTGTGGTGTGGAGCCTGCAGCAGGGCCTCCTGGAGGCAGCTGTAGCCGCTTTCCTAGAAATAGTGTAGAGGAATCTATTGGCCTTGGTGCCGTGACCACGGGCAGTCTGGACTGGAATGGGGTCCCTGGCCGCTCAGCCTCCCTTAGCTCCTTGACTGGGCCAGGCTGGGCAGGGCAGATCGGCTCCCTTGTGCCCGGGGAAGGGCATAAGCATTAAAATGCACTGGGCATGGCCAGGGCTCACACACAGCCCATGCCTTCCTCAAGCTCACGTGCCGCCTTTCATCAGCACATCAACCCTCTGCTCCCCTAGTTCTGTGAAGGAAAAAATGGCCCAGAGCTCAGAAGGCTTCCCTGGGACTTTGGTGGGGATGGCACTGGGGACTGAAGCCAAGGTCTTTGCTACATCCCCAGCCCAGCCTGAGCCCTTTTTAATTTTTAGACAAGGTCTTGCTAAATCACTAAATCGCCTGGATTGGGCTCAAACTTGCAATGCTCCTGCACCTGGCTTTGCCTGGGACTTGTTTGCTCTCTGTCAAATATCTGAATCTTTCTGGGCCATTTCCTCATCTGTCCAGCGGGGGAAATGGTTACCTTCAGAGTAGTTATGAGGATGAGGTTTTGTGTGAGCCCTTCCCCTAAGAACCTTTAGAATAATTCCGGGGCCAAAACGAACCAGAGAAAAAGCCGCCCCCACCCCACTGCCATTGTCAGCTGCTGCTGACCCCCAGATCCTGCTCGGTGAGATGAGAACTTACTCCATTTTACAGGGAAGAATGGAGGCTGAAAGTTTAAATGTTTGGGCTGTGGTCACACTTGGTCACAGAGCTGGGGACTCGAAGCCCTCTGCTCCGGTAGTGAGCTTTATGCATGGTCTCCACACCTTGCTGGCTTGGGGAATCAACCCTGTTCTCTTACAGTAAGGTCTTCGCACTCCTCAGGTCTGACTTCTAAGCGTATGAAACCCACTGAAAGGGCCTGGCCTAGTGATGGCCCAGCCCTGAGGAGGAAGAGCCAGCCAGCAAAACTCCATTGTTCCCTCCTGTTCCTGTCATTCCTGTCACAGGGCCAGCAAACAGCAGCTGTTACACTTGGGTGGCAGTGAGCCAGCCCGGTGTGTCAGCCATGGTGCTGTTCCTCACAAGCAGCGGGGCTAGCGCCTGGTGTGACCACAGAGGAAGCCGGCCTGGTGGCTCATCCTGTGCCAGGGTGAGGTTGGAAATTCTCACATAGGGTGAGCTTCACACATTGCTTTATTGGGGAGCCTGTTCCTGCAGCCTGGCCTTGAAACTAGGCCCAACTGGACCCACCCAGTACTTAATTGCTGCCAGGGAGTACAGCTGTCCACAAGGGCAGCGACAGCTGGTGCCCCAGCTCCTCCGCAGCAGAAGCAGCTCCAGGTCTGAGGCTGGGAGAAGGGACTCTGCCTTGGGCCTCATCTCAGGCTCCCTGAGCCATCTTGGACCTATAGATTATGCTTCTGTGTTCCCCCTGGACCCCCGGCCTGCAAGGCAAGGTGTCCTACCTGTCGCACACCTGGAGGAGGAAATCACTGACCAGGCTCTCATGCTGGCTGCATAGGCTCCTCTGGAGGGCGCTCTTGAGCCAGTCCTCGACGCTGCACACCTGCACGCGGCTGGAGTGCCAGCAGATGGACAGGCTGCGCAGTGCCGGGCCTAGCCGGAAGTTGTCCTTCTTGAGCTCGGTGAGGGAGCGGAAATGCAGTAGGGGCCAGAGCGCAGGGTCTTCAAACACATCGTGGAGCTGGGAGCAGGTCCTGGCGAGGCTCTTTCTGCTGTCCTTGTCTAGAAAGGAGAAGAGGTGCAGCAGGCACTCGTGGTTGAGCTGGGTGATGTGCATAGCGAGTGGCGGCCACCCTGAGTGCGCCCCGCCCGGGCTGACCTCCTCTCTCCTCTCTGGCTCAGGGCCGGTGGACATATATGGTTGAGGAATGGTGTTTATTTTTGGCCAACAACTGGTGCTGAAGGAGGGGAATGAAAAGCCAGGCTCTAGACCTACGTGCAGCAGTCTGTGGTCCAGCTTGTGTGCAGAGGGATTGAAAGCCTGGCAGGAAAGCAGCCCATTGAAGTGACAGGGTTTCCTTAAAAGGGCTTGCTTTCTTCGCAGCTGACCGTGGTGTTCAGCAGCACTCCTGGCTTTCCCCAGGATAGCTCTGCTGTCTGGGCCTTGGTGTGCTGGCTATGACTGTGGTGCGTTCGCAGGGTCATGGCTGAGCCCTCAGGAGAAGGGGACCTGTGTGCACGGCGCTGAGCTGAGCTGAGCGTGACCCGGCCTTCAGAGCTACCGTTGGAATCCCGTCCTGACTCCTCTGTGTTAACTTCTGCTTCTGGTAGACTGATGGTTTCCAGGCGAGGCTGAGCAACCTTCCAACCCTGCTGCCCTCCGCGGGCAAAGGGATTTCCTTGACCTCTAGAATAGCTCTATTTTTACCCGCAGTAGCTTTGTAAAAGATTTCACCGAAGCAGCTTATCTTTGAGGCTTTTATGTGTGTGCACCTATGTTATATATTACGTGTCTTTGACTGCTGGCTTGGACTTCCCCAAGGGGCAGGGTGGATGAGGGAGCCTTTACAATACCACGTCAAACAGTTAAGGCACAGTACTTGTCCCATTGGCTGTGTAAGGCAGCCCGGGTCCCCTCTGTGAGCGCCCTGCATTTCCTCCTGGAGAAGCCCTGGGTCCCCACTCCGTGGTTGGCCTGGGGGTGGCATCGCGGGTTCTCCAGTCTAAAGTCCCTGAGGCCTCCAGCATGGTGGACGGCTTCCTCTCAGGGGCCCTGCCTCCGTGCCTGCTGAGAACCCTGAGCTCTGGCAGTGGGTGCTTTGGGGGGACACTGACGCGGGGCAGTGGGAAAGGCCGTGTTCTGCCTTTGCGAGTCAGGACAAGCAGTTTTCCTCTGTATCTCGGGGATGGGCGCAGCGGCTCTGAGGACTGGACTGGAAGACTTGTTCCCCGGGTGCTGGACCCAAGGTGGGCCGGGCCAGGTCAGCCTGGCGATTCCTAGCACAGGCAGCTGAGGGAAGGAGGAGCCACCCGTCAAGCCAGTCTGAGCTGGTCCTGAGACTCCCTACCCCAGGTCACCACGGGGACAAAAGGGGGCGCTCTTTCTTAAACCAAAGAGCAGGGAAAAGGAAGCATTTCCAAAGGAGGGGCTTGCATTTCCAGCTCTGCTAGCATTTATAGCGCATCATTATCATCGGAGTTGTCAGAATGACAGCCCAAGAGCTCTGAGCTGTCACCACTGCAGAGGTGCTCGGCCGCACTGTGTTTGGGGCAGCCCTGGAGTCATCCCAGCCCAGCCAGGTCTGGGGCGGTGGTCTGAGCTATCCCTTGCACACCCACAGCCCTGCTGCTTGTCCTTCGGTCCCTCACTGTCCTTCACTGCTTGCCCCAGTGAGTGGCAGGAGGGACCCACACAGGACACAGGACACGGGCCCAGAGCCACCCCTGGAGCGCTGTCCCTCAGCCTCGTCTCAGCTGTGGGCAGTGTCACAGGACGTGGGGGCAGGCAACACCTTTGGTTTGAGGCTGGTGGACCCCTGGGTTGGAAAAGGCGCTTCTGTGTTTTGTGAGCAGGAAGAGAGGTGGACAGAGGTGGGGTGGGCCTTGCTGTCAGAATACTTCACAGTGCCGCCTATCTGCCTGTTTTACTTTCAAAGACCAACAGTCTGCTCAGAGCCCAAAACCTGGCTCCTGAGGGGAAAGGGCCTCTTCTGCGAGGTTATTGGTCACATGGGACCAGGGAGGAATTTGTGGGCCTCCACTGCAGCTGCCGCCCCCTGGGCCACCCCGCCTGGGCCGGCCCGAAGGTGGCGGCAGAAGCAGAGTAGACGCCGCCAGCTACATAGGCCCAGAGCTGGGGCTGGAGCAGCCCCTGTGTACTTGACTCCCTGGAAGGAGTTCAGAAATACGCAAAGGAAAGAGAACAGACCTTTAATGATTCCTTCCATGGAGCAGGTCAGGCTGGTGAAGCAGGAAGGGCTTTGACAAGCTGGATACACACAGTATTTGCCCAGTCAGACAGTCCTCTAGGTGTCACAAGAACCAGGCTTTCAGGAAAAGGACAGCATCGCGGCCGGGACAGGTCTCGGGGAGGTTCCCCGGCAGAGATGAGCCACGGACCCCCATGGCCACACCCCGGCTGCCACAAGCCTGTCCAGGGCACGGCAGAGGTGGCAATGGGTGCGTCCATCTAAACAGGCTTTGTACACGAACCAAGGGAAGAGGGGTTTTGCTTTAAGCCATAAATATGTCCCCGCCTCAGAAACCAGGCAGCTGAGTAAGTTCCACAGGCGAGACACACATTCAACACTTAACCAGGGCCAGCACACTGACTGGTTTAATGCCATGACATTTGTCATCACCATACACTGAGTAGAATACAGTGGATAAGCAAGAGGTTTCTCCACCATGGAGAGAGATTTGTGTTGCCACAAACTGTTTCTGTCCCCACCTCCTGTTCCCAGGAGAGCCCTGCAGAGAGAGGAGCTTGTAACAGAGGTGAGAGACGGTTATGCAGTTACAGACTTCAAATACAAGTAGGCACATTTACATCACGGTGTCCGGGTGCACGTCACACAGACCCAGTCTGTCTTCCTGATACCAAACACTGGTCCTTGAGTAAAATCAAGCAGTAAAAACGCTATAGAAATGTGTTCCTCATGCATGTCTGCAGACCACTTTCCTGACAAAGCAGCCCAGTCTGCAGTGAGGTCCACTTATAAAAAGACAGCATCAGCTCTGCTGCAGTCGCCCATGCCAAGGCCAAAGACCTGAGTGTGAATGTTGGCAGTTACAACTGCTACCTTCTGCGCAGGGCGCCTGGACTCCAGGAGATACTGACAGGGGCAGAGGAGACATGTTTGGGGTCAGTTAGATTTGCTAATGTACTGATGTATGAAACAACACATTTCCTCTTCATTTTCTTCTGAGACTGATTCTAAGCTGTAAGACTCAAACATGATGGCAGAGCCTCATTCTCGGGAGTGAGGGTTTAGACCGGCATTGCCTGGGAACACACTATGCCATGAAAAATCCTAGACCTGCTCCGTCCTGTGTGGGGGGGGTGCTGAGCACTTGACGTGTGGCTAATGTGTTCTGCTAACTGCAGAACTGAGTTTTAAATCTAAATGACCGCATGTGGCCACTTTGTCACATGAGGCCAATTTAGAAGTAGCTGCCATGTGGTCCTTGCCGTGTTAAAGTGTTTACCCAGCAGGTGTACCCTGCCCTGAGAGAATGCGGGATTTACCATATTAAAAGGGAACTGGAGCTGTGCCTGTTCCTGCGATGCTAAGCAAGTGAGCTAAGAGTGAGCCATCAGACTTTCACATTCATTCGCTTCAAAGTCTTGCCCATTTAAAAAAACAGATAAAACAAGAGTGCCAGAGTCTGCTCGCCTAACTCACCATAAAACGCACTTGTCCATGAGAGGTGAGAAGGACTGAAGACAGTGCACGGCTCTGCACCCGCTGTCTGGGTCACCGCAGGTAACGTCACCGCCACACACCGAGATGAAGGGCTGGCAGGAATCACAGCTGCCTTCTTCAAATGGGGCTCTGGGTCCAATTCTCAATTTTACTTAAATCTGAGTAGTGCTTGTACCTGTTCTTTTTTTTTTTTTGGCACTGGGGATCGAACTCGGGTCCTTGCGCTCGTGCAGCAGGCGGAGAAACCACTGAGCTAAATCCCCAGCCCACCTACTGTTCTTGACAAAAAAAAAAAAAAAGAAGTTGCTGAATTCCAGAATATAAACTACCACCTATTGAAAGTGAGAATTTTTTTTTGTACCAGGGCTCAAACTCAAGACCTTATGCTTGCGAGGCAGGCACGGTGCCACTGAGCTAAATCCCTGGCCCTGAAGGTGAGAATATTTTTAACTTGCTCTGCTCTCAGGACAGACCGAGGAGACTTGTTAACTCAGAACTTCTTTCTGTGGACAGAGCCCACAGTGACATGGAAGTGTAGGTGACAGGCAGCGCTGGGGTTCACAGCCCCATTCAGACGGCCACGAGGAAGCAGGGCTCAGATGCACACACAGTCGCTTGTGGCGAAAGGGGGAACAGGTGCTGATGCAACAAGGCAGAGCAAGCTGGGATCTCCTCGGGTGACACCTGAGCTGTCCACACTGTGTCTTAATTGGACTTCTCTTCCCACCTCCCCCATGAAATAGAAAACAAAACCACTCCCCAAACTGGCAAACCCAACAGTACGAGTAATTCTAGAACTGGCAGTACAGGTAACCACTGAACCAACAAGTTTATTTAGTTAGTGCTGATCCACCAACAGCAGCAGTTACCTGAGCTACCTCCAGATGCCCTGCTATCTTTACAGTCAGTCAGTGATCACCAAGCGGTCACCATGAAGCCTCCTGGGCCACCACCCTGTGCGCTGTGATCCTGAAGTGGAAGTCACCTCAGCGTGGAGGAGCAGCAGCAGGCCTTACGTCCCTCGCCACACCCAGGAGCGCCCCTCTCTTTCAGCATGTGAGTAACAAAAGCATGGATGTAAATGTGCCTCAGAGTGAGAATTGAAAACATTAATATAAAAAAGTCAAATAGAACTAAGTTCTTGAAACTACATATAAAAATTGAATTATTACAACTAAAGCAGCAAATCAAAATGTCTGCTGAGGTTTTCTGGTAAGAACAACAACAACAAAAAATTAGTTGGTGCCCACGTTCAGTAAGTCACTACCACTGACAAAACTAAATCCAGAACAGGAAATTGAAAAGTGCATAATGAAATTAAATCTTGGATCAAGTATTTATGGAAAATTGGAAATGTTTGTCCGGCAGAGTTGATGCATAATGATTTGGAGAGGTATTAAAGTTTGTCTGATCCAGCTTTGGCCTGGTGTTCCACATAAAAAAGGATGTAGGCCTTTGCTTTCCCCACGGTCTCTTCATCAGTCAGTGTCACAGTGCTGTCATTGAAGTGGAACCAGCGGCCTTCGTGAACTGCGTAGGCTGTGTAATGTCCAGAGCCGACCCTGTGAAGAAAAGGCACCGATCAAAGGAAACTGCAGAAATCATGGAACAGTCTGTGCAACCATGGAATTATCTACGAGACAGATTTTAGTAAGCACTAATTAGAGAACAACTTCTAGAACAGTGATGGCAAACCTTTCAGAGCTTTCAATGACACAAACAGCCTGCTGTAGGTTCACTGCCACTGTCCTAGGGGCTTTTGGTTTAAGATGGGTGATTAAGTGCTTGTGTGACCTCTTCCAACCCCCATCAGAGAGAAAAGGGACATAGTGACAAGGGCAAATAGGAAAGGACCATCAACTGACCAGAAATGGAGAGGTTTCTAGAACACATGAAGCAGATGGTACTGGGTTAATGGAAAAGCTGAATAAGCATAGCATGTTAGCATAGGTCAGGGCCTATGGAAACTCAGTGCCATACTTCCTGTCAGTCTGTTGTGGGCAGGGGAGGGGGGACGAAACTGAGCTTAAGAAACTAGTTGGCCTCAATGAGAGCACATCCCAGATGCTTTGGCCAAAAGGGCTCACATGGTCCTGAGTCTGCCCTCTTTGTCAAGAGCAAGGCCTGTGAGTAGAACAGAGACCTTCACAGTTGCTAGAAAAATCCTCATTTACCAGTAATGATCTGCCTCACCCTTCTATTTATAGGGGCACGCCAGTTCACAATTTTGTTTTTGTTTGTAAGCTCTACTTTGGGTGACTAACACGGCCGCAGCCATCTTTCCCACACAAACACAAAGGTGGCCATCTTTTCCAAAACTGTGGAACAAATTAAGTTCAGGAACCAAGGTATCACTGTATTCTAATTTTGAATAAACAACTAAAAAGCAAGTTCTTAAGGGGAAAGCAATACCAGAAATGAAAAGTGCTAGGAAGGACAAGTAAAGCAGTTAGTCACAGAATTTAATGCAGAGAACTTTAAAAATTCCATTTAGTAGCAATGGTTTCAAGGAGATACGGGAATCATAAAATGAGTAGCTGTTAGGAAAAAGCTGGGGTGTGGCTCAGTAGCACAGTGCTTGTAGGAGTCCCTGGGTTCAATCCTGAGCACAACAAAAGAGCTGAGGGAGCCGAGGAGCTAATTCATTCTCAATTTGGATATAGTGGAATTGATCCAGGAAATTCACTATATTTACTAGCATCCTGGAGGGAGAATAAAGAATAAACCTATTTCCATCAGCTGAAGACATCACACTGAAAGTGTCCCTATCAACTGCCAAGCAGGAATACATCAGATAGGCCTATGTCCAAAGGTAGCGGAAACCAAGGATGCCTGTCAAGTGATTACATTGGCCTTGTCAGACCTGTCATTCTTGAGGGAAAAAGATTTCCATCATGGGTGGTGGCTTGTCCAAGTATAGCAGTCCAAATTTAAGGCAACTGTTCTCAGGGCAGAGACTAGAGGCCTCCTATACCTAATACAAACTTTCAGGGGAAAAGTATTTAACAAAATAGAAATGAATCTTTAAAGTTGATGACCTGGGGTAGGTTATTTTAAATATCATCCCATTTCCTGCCCATTTAAATTTCAGTTGGCAAAGAAGATAACTGGAGTAAGAAGGCTCAGGATATTGTGGACCAGTAAGCTGGATTCTCGATGCTGGGCTCACATGGGCTGTTTTCTGTTTTGGTTCTAAGTGCCTTCTCTTACTGCTTCCAACATCCTCTTAAGAAACCTCTTAGAAATACCAACATTGCCAGGCAGTTCTACTTCACCCACTTGAATGAATCCAAACCCATTTTGGGGGAGTTCATGAGAATCCGGACAGTAGTACCAAGCTTCAGTTCTGCTGCTGCTACTCACCCAGAGCCGTGGTGCACCACCACCGCAGCGAGGTCATACAGGCAGCTCTCGGGGCCACTGTTCTCGGGCTATGGAACAAAAGAGAAGGCATTGGGAACTGAGTTAGGAGCAGTGGCTGAGGACAGCAGCATCTTCTGCAGTGGCCTCTGCCCTCTGTGCTAAGACTTAATCGCTCTGCCTAGAAGGTAACCACCTCACCTCGAGTAAGTAGCATTTCATGTCCAGGCCTCTCAGTGGAAACTCTACGTAGGTATCAACTTTGTTTCTTAAATATGCTGTCCAATGAAATCTTTTCAAATGTAAGCATAGCACCTGGATGACAAAGATAAGGACAAAGACTGAGCACCTAATTTACCTTTCAATAACCACTCAAGTCATATTTTAGGGACCTGATCGGTTTTCTTCTGACCTTGACATTGCTTTCTTCATCACACGCCTCCCCGATCCCCAGGGGCTGCAGCTCGCCCTGAAAATCCTTGAGATCCCCCCAGAACAGGTGACACAGTCTAAAGTTAAATATCTTTTCTCATTAATCAGGCACTTTTTCTTGAGACTGCATCATAATTTAAAATTCAACACTTACCTTGGGAAGTTTTTGAATCCAGAACTTTTTTGTGGACTTTTGTTTCTTTTTACATTTGTGGCACATATATAATTCTGTCTCGTCGAGTTCTTCTAAGTCAGTGAAACTGCGAAGACAATCTGAAACCAAAGTGATTTGGGCTGCATTAGAAGGAGACCGAGCACGGCAGGAAGACAGGGCTGTGATGCCGAGTGGCCCCGGTGTAACTCTCAGCTTGATCACTCTGTGACCTCTGGAGTCGCCCTGCCTCCGATGCAAACTGGAGACAGAAACCAGCCTACTTTAAAGAGCTGTCTTGAGAAAGAGAAATGACGTATAAAGCATGCATCTGGCATGGCAGCTGACACCTGGAGACAGTCAGTGAAAGTTGGTTTTACCATAGTTACTGAAAGAATCAGTCTGGGAATTTTATTAAAAGCAGCTTCCTGAGGAAATCTAAGTTTCAGTAGCATTTTTCTCCTTCTGCAGCTCTAAGGATGGAACCGAGGCCCTTGGACGTGCTAGGTGGGGGCTCTACCACCAACCTACATCCCCAGCCCTTATTTTTCTCTCAATATGTAATATTATAGAAGACAAAGCCCCAAGCTCATAAAAAATGATGGTCAAATTTAGATCAAACAGGGCAGGGGATTTAGCTCAGTGGTTCTGCTGCCAGCCTCGCAAGCACAAGGTCCCGAGTTTGATTCCCCAGTACCAAAAAAAAAAAATTTAGATCAAACATTTCCACAGTCATAACGTGTTTAAAAATAAACATAGATTACAAAAGGCTAATATACTAACCTCCAAAGAATCCTTTGTCCAGACTCTATTCTCAGTCCCTTAAACCACAACCACATTGTTTTATTGTCATTTGAAGATTTAATTGTGTAACCTTGGGTTTGGTAAAGTATACTAAGCCTACTCCAGGCACCTGGTATTAAAAATAAAATTCTGCTGGAACATAGCCATGTGCTCAAATGAGAACATGAGGGTGAACGGAATCGGCACTGGGTAGTTTCTCTGTGGGCCTTCTTAGACTGTGCACCCCAAGTAAGGCATGCAATGGGCTTTTCTCTCCCAATTTCATTTGTAGCAACCACCCAGGGGTGAAGCAGGAGCAGCTCCCAGCTGGATGCAGGTAAAATTCCTTACTGCTGAGGAGCTGTCAGTGAGCAGTTTCTCTCTGACCTCCTCAGGCAGTGTGCCTCAGGCGTGGCTATAGCCCCAGAAGCGGAGACAAAGGTGCAAGGAGATGGATTCGTCCTTACAACCCTGGGAAGTCACACACAACTGCCACTGCCCTGCCCCTGGTCTGAGGGCAGCTTCTCAATCTCTGGGGCTTGTGCTCGGCACCCTCCTCCACTCCCCTCCGTGTCCCCACATCTGTTCTCCACTGTGTAGCCCTCTTGGCAGGTCTGTGTCAGTTGCTCTACTGAGCAGTGCAGTATCTGTAGGATCTCAAGAGATGGGGCACTAGGGAGTTTCTGACCCCCAAGGCTGTCCAAATTTAGACAACAGGTCACTTCTGAAGGAGATTCTGATCTACAGCACCTTGGGCATTTGTAGAGGGAAGAAGGGAGCTCCTTTTCAAAAACCTGGCTAAGGTGCAGATTTCTGGCTTCTTACCTGCAGAGGAGACTCCACCCCTTTCCTAGCCATGGAGCCAGGCCAGCAGGTGACAGGATATTTGCTGCTGTGCTGCTGTACTGGTCTCTGGACTTTTACCAAGTTGCCTCACCTCAGTACACAGCTATGCAAGATTTGCTTTTTGTTTGTGGAGGAGCTGGTGGGTGCTGGATACCTCTATTCAGACATCTTCAGAATAATTTTAGGTACTGGGGACTGATTCCAGGGCCTCTGCACTTAGCCCTATTTTATTTTTTATTTTGAGACAGGATCTGGTTAAGTCGCCTAGGCTGGGCTCAAAAACTTGTGATCCTCCTGCCTCAGTGTCCCCCAGTTCTAGGATGACAGGTGCCACCACATCCACCTAATTAGTTGTGTTTTATAGAATTCAGGAAAGCCAGTAGGTCTTAGACTTTTTTTTAGAGGGGAGACTTATTAGTCTCTAATTTTTTTATTCTTTGGTAGTTGGTACGCATTCAGAAACTTCCAGGTTTTAGCATGTAATGGTTCGTAACAGTTTGATGACCTTTTCTGTGGTATCAATTGCACTGAATCATCTCTGATTCTAATCAGGTCCATCGAAAGCTTTGCAGATTTTGCTTGTCCTCTCAAAAAAAATCAACCGTTTCACTGATCTTTTGTACTTTTTTTACTTTGAATTTTATTTGTGTTCTGATATTTACTTTTTTCTTTCCTTCTAATTTTGGGTATGGTCTGTTCTTGCTTTTGTAAATTCTTGAGGTATGTTAGCTTGTGCATTTGAGATCTTTTTACTTTTTATGTATTTATTGCTATAAACTTTCCTCTCAGTACTGCTTCTGTTTCCCACAGACAGATTTATTGTACTGTTGTTTTTCATTGATTTCCCTTTTAATTTTTTCAGTTACCCATTGGTCATTTAGGAGCATGTTGTTCGATTTCTATATACTGTATTGGTATACTTTCCATTTTATTCATCTTGAATTTTAGTTTTATTCCACTGTGTTCTGAGAAGATAAATTATATGATTTCAGTTTTTTAATTTATGGAGACTTGATTTGTAGCCTAATATATGATCCGTCCTGAAGAATGTACTATGTGGTGATGAAAAGAATGTGTACTGTGTTGTGGCTGGATAAAATGTTCTGGATAAATGTCTGGCAGGTCCATCTGCTCTACAGTTTGGCTCCACTTGGCAGTTTGTCAATTTTCGGTCCAGATCTTTCCACTAAGGAAAGTGGGGTGTTGAAATCCCCAACTCACCATGTTGGAGTTTACCTCTTTCTTCAGATCTAGTAATACTTGTACTTCGTACACCTAGGTGGTTCTGTGTTAAGTGCAAACATATCTTAATGCTAAATTGATCCCTTTATCATTCTATAATGGCTGCCTTTGTCTTTTTAAGTTTTTGATTTAAAGTCTTTGTCTGATATGACTATACCTAGTCCTTCTTGCTTGTGGTATGTCTCTGCCCAACCTTTTGCTTTCAGTCTGTCTTCATTTTTACCAGCAAAGTGAGTTTCTTATATGTGTTGTCTTTTCTTTTTCAATCCTTTCGCCAGTTTTTCTCTTAATTGGTGAATTAAATCTGTTTACATTCAGGGTTATTACTAACAGGTATGACTCTCCTCCTGTCATTTTTGTTAATTATTTTCTGCTTGTTTATATATTTTGCGTTTCTTTCTAGCTCTTTTATCATTTATTTTTGTAATCTGGTAGTCTGTCATGCTAAGATTAGATGTTCTTCTCTTTCATGTATCTATACTTCTTTTTTTTTCTTTTTGAAGTACTGAGGATTGAACTCAGGACCTTGTGCTTGTGAGGCAGGCATGGTGCCACTGAGCTAAAACTCCAGCCATGTCTCTGTTCTTGGAATGAGTGTTGTACACTTGTATATTCATGATGGTGATTATCTTTTTTGTTTGTGGTGTAGGATTTCCTTAAGCATACTTTCTTATAGAGCTGGAGTGATGAATTCCCTCGGTTTTTGCTTATCTAGGAAAGGCTTTATTTCTCCCTTATGAAGAATAGCTAACCTGGGCAAAGTACAGTACTCTTGGTTGGCAGTCTCCCCCCACCCCACCCCCAAGGCTCTAAATATATCATCCCATTCTCTTCTGGTGTGTAAAGTTTCTGCTGAGAAGACTGCTTAAATCTGCAGGGCATTCTCTTTAGATTTAGTGACTTGACACTTTTCTCTTGCTGTGTTTGATTTGTTTTGTACTTCTGATATTTTTGACTATAATAATACACTGGAAGATCTTTTTTAGTTGAATCTATTTAGGGTCCTTTGAACTCCTAATATCTGTATGTCTATATGTCTTTGAAGATTTAGGAATTTGTTAGCTATTATTTCATGAAATAGATTTTCAATGCCTTTCTCACCTTCTGGAATTCCCATAATGTAAGTATTTGTTTGCTTAAAATGGGTTTCCTCATTTCTTTTACCTGACTGACTTAATTCAAAAGACCTATCCTAAAATTCAGAAATGCTGGGGCCAGGGATTTAGCTCAGTGCTTCTACCGCCTACCTCGCAAGTGCAAGGTCTGCAGTTTGATCCCTAGTACAAAAAAAAAAAAAAAAAAAAAATTCAGAAATGCTTATTCTTTGTTGTAGAAGCTCTCCACTGTATTTTGTCATCAATTTTTTTTTTTTTCAGTTCTAAGGTTCCTCATTGGTTCAGTTTGGTGAGGTGGTTCTTATTTCTTTGTTATTGTGTGAGTTTCCTTAGTTAAGGATCATTATTTTGAATTTTTTCAAGCATTTCATAATTTCCTTCAAATCAGGATATATTTCTGGAGATTCAGTTGATATATGCACATCTGGCCTAATAGTTGCCTTTTCCAATTTTATGGAGTAGCTTTTGTAGGAAAGGATTTTTAATGTAGATGGGATACAGAGTGTGAGTTGGGTAGGTTCTTTGGTAATAGGAGGGCTCAAAAGTGTAGCCTCTGTGTGACTTCTTGAGCTCTGACTAATGTCAGCAGTGTCCGTGAACACTTCAATCGTCTAGACTGCAGCAGTTTGTGAAAGTAGCTGTATGACTTTGCAGTGGACTTGGGATTCCAAGGGTGCATGTGCTCAGGTCCCCAAGGGTCAAGCCCCAGTGGCACTGGGGCTTGTAACCACAAATGCCACGTCTCGATGGTGTGGACTGAGAGAGGACTGCCCCAGAGTCTGTCAGGGAAAGCAGAGATGCCAGCTTCCACAGTCTCCAAGCCATGGGATGTGAAGGAGACCTTCCCTGGGACCCTGAGGATAAATGTGGAAGATGCCTGGGCTTTTGGCACCAGCAGCAAATAGTTCTGGAGCCACAGGATGGTATGTGGCCATCCCTAGGTCCCAGGGAAAGAGCACAGCTGGTGCTGGGGTCTGTCACACCAGTAACCAATGACACAGGACCCTGGTCCTACGGGGTGATTGATGCTATGGCTTTTTGTGCTGTTGGCTGCTTTCACGGAGGTGTGGGACCGAGATGGTACCTTCCCCAAGGCCCAAGAGGCAAATGATGCTGTAGCCTCAAGTCCATGGGTTGTGGAGAAGACTCCCTGCCAGGTCCCCTGGGGCATTTGGATTTGTGGCACTGGTATCCACACTCTTGGAGATATACGACCCCTGCCTTTGGTCCTGTGGGTGAAGCACTTGTGTCTTTGGTATTCTGCAGCCCTGGAGCTGCAAAATGTCCCTGGGTCACACGAGGCAAGCACAGGAGGAGCCAAGGCACTGGTAGCCATGTCCTGGAGTTTGTGTCCTGTAGTACACAAGTGGCGACAAGCTTGGGTGATGCTGGGCTTGTTGCACTAGCAGTTCCAGGGCTGGGGGAAGGGACCAGCCTTCCTTCTGCACAGGTGATGCAGGTGCAACCAAGCAGGTGTCCTCGGCCAGCCAGCTTTCCTTTTCCCCAGGCTGTATGAGGTTCCTCTCCACCTTTTCTGCCTGGGAGACGGGCTGAACATGCTTTGTCCTTTTTCTAGGTGGCCTGTCTGACTCTACATGCCGGTTAGGTTCCCATCACTTGTGTTGTCTCAGAATCACTCACAACACAGCCTTTTCTTTGTTGTCCTGGTTCTCTGTGGTGGAGCTGCATACTGGGCACCTCTGATCAGCCATCCTAAGTCCTCTCTCCATAGGTTTTTAATTAGGTCTTTTTCCTTGATTAAAGTAGCTAATACTCATCAAGGAAAAAAAGGAGTACAAATCCTCCAAAGTATGTGTGAATTTTAATGGCCTTACAATTAAAAGCAGGTCTTGGGCTTACTCATCAATTGATTTCTCAAACTATTATACATAAGAACATACATGACCTCATAATTTATAACACTCTTAGTATGCTTTCTTTCTGTAATTTATCCATAGAATAAATACTGTTTCATTTTTTCGGGAAAATTTTTGTTACAGACTTTCAATTTTGAAGCCAGTGTTAAAGAAGGTGAGAAATGCCTTATGCGTCACCTCTTATCTTGTGGCACACATTCTTATTAAATGGAATACTCGGGGTTAGGGAAAAGGCATTCCAGTCTGACTTGTTAAAACTGCAACACATTAATCAAAGATACGAACCACAAAGCTCATACCAGTGGAACTTACAATTCTAAAGCATTAAAATATCTTTACCTCGTAATGAACAAACTGGTCCGTTTTCTTGATTCTTAGAGCGCTTACTTCTGAACTGACTTGGAATATCTAATGAAAGATCTGAGGAGGAGATAAAACAGCTGTTAAATTATTTAAAAACTGAGTGATTTTTCTCTTTACTGGTTGAATTTTCAAAGGAAACATTAAAGCTATTACTTTAATAAGACAGTAAAACCCACATACCAAATTTATCTTACCTAGGAATGGATCAAACTTCCTGGACTCTGTCCCACATATGAGGCAGTTGACCTCATTCTGGAGAATGCCTCCGAATATAGCTGTGACAACAGTTGATGCCCCATTTCTAAAGAAACCACCACACGGGAAACATCTCAATAAAAATCGCTTTTTTGACATTTGAGCCTAAAATATCTGTAAAAACCCTTATCAGTGCTCCTATTGGGAGAATAGGTATATCATTTGTATTTTTAAGTCCTAAAATAAAAACATCAGAGCTATATAGACAAATGCTAAATAAAAGGCTTAAGCCCTGGCCTCCCCCAACCTGTTTTCAGTCCCACTAGTTTATGCAGAATTAACTTATACTGGCCATTTGTATTACGACAAACAATCATGAGTAGGACTAGGCTTAGGGCAAGATGACCCTTCCCTGATACACCTCTCAGAAAGGAAAATTTCTGTTTTATTTCTAAGGCCAGTCATGGAATTCTGGCAACTACTTGACTTTGAATCTGAGGCGATAATGACATTGAACACAGATTTAGTAATTACTGCTGGAGAAGTGGTGGATGTTATTGTTGACAAGCCTTTTCAAAAAGCTCACCTAAAACATAAATAATTTTCTTGTGGATAAAAAAATATACCTCCTTAAGAACAGTGAGAAACCAACAGCTTCGTGTTACATTACCTCAGGCACCTCTGTCCCAGCAAAATAAACAAGAACAGGAAGAGCACCAGAGGCCTGGTGTGAAGATAAAGTGCATTATAGATGTACCATGCTTTCAGAAGGAGTGCTTACCCCAAAACAAAAACACTTGAAGTGTATGCCACTACTTCATTAGCATGAAGTCGGATTATACCTGCTGCTTGCTTTTATATTTTTCCTCTAAGTGTAGATCTTAATCCTGTACCTCATTCTCTGACAGCTGCACACATGTTGCAGTATGGACACACCGTGGACTCAAGAACAAGCCCGGGCACTAACGCAAGTAGAGGGCACCTGAACAGCACTTACCATATGCAGCCTCCATTCTGAATGTTCCCCATTTATTAAATCAGTTCATCCTTACAACAACTCTACAAGGTTATCCCCATTTGTAGACCAGGAGGCTGAGGCCCAAAGGTTAATTAAATAACATGCACGGCTCACAGTCACAAGCATCTGCTCTTAACACTTCTTGTCTTAATTAACCAAGATAATATCAGTGGATATTGAGGTGGCTTCAGATGTCCGCTATCCCTAACAGTACGTAACAAGTGCTTGTACATTATCAGCCTTGTGCACTTAGGCAGTTATGTCAGACAGAAAATGCCTACTGCTTAATAGGAGTTTCAGGTGGTTTCTTTCCCTTGCAATCAATTACTCATACATTAAACTATACTTTGAGAGACTGCAAATTAAACCTACTGCAATGATGAAGTAGAGAAAACAAACCTACGCAATTCTATTTGGAAAATATGATTCCTTCTCTAGCAAAAAGAAGATGCTTTTATTATCATCTTTAGAAGTGTTGTTTGTAAGATATACTGGGTTTAGTAAATTAAAAGAACAGATGCTACCCTTGGAAAAGTAGGACAAAGCGACCATTTCAGGTTTTAAGTTTATACCTGTATCATGAAGAATGTCCCAGAAAATACTGAAAACAGAGGGGCTATGACTAACCCTTCCAAGCTGATGTTCACATTCAAAGTTGCCTTTAATGAAAATGGAAATTGCTTCACTAAAAAGCAGTACATTTAAACTCTACGTTACGCCGGGGATTTAGCTCAGTGGTTCCACCGCCTGCCTGCCTCACAAGCCCAAGGACCAGAGTTCGATCTCCGGTACCAAATAAATAAATAAGTAAAATAAA